GATTGTCCTTTAATTGGAAAAAACTCCTTCACCCTCGGGGGTGCCGGAAAAAGGAGGTGTGACAGTCCTTAAGCTTCATGACCTTAATAGCATATAAGTTGTTTACTACTTTAACCTTATAAACAAATAGTGAACCTCATGCTAGATTGAATTACCTTCCCTTTACCTGTTCTCTTCAAGAACTTTTTATCATCTCTGGATGCACAGCATTAAAGTGAATTTCTTAAAATAACGGAAACGGGTAATCTCTAACTTACTACTTGAGAAATTAGAGCTTAGACGTTATGAAAAAGCTTCCTATCCTTGTTACAGAAGCCGCACTAGAAGTAGTGAACCAAACAGGCACCTTTCCTCACTTACAATACACTTGAAACTTCCTAATTTTATCTGATGTCCCCGAAGAGATAGTTTTATACACTTGAAACTTTTACAGTTACTAGCTAAGTATCTGTGTAAACTGGTCAAATTAGCTGGCAAAACATGACATATAAGTAGATATTTACCATCAATTGAATAAGGTGCCTCCCTGTCATAATTTCCGTGTCGATGAGTTTGGACAGGCACAAACATCAAGAAATTAGTCTTTGAAGTGAGTTAAATTATTCCTAACACCAAAAAAAGGTACAGTGCCACATGCAATTGTCACGAGTATGAGAGCAGCTATCAGGAAAGGTTAATCAAGGATATATGTAACAAGCTTTTATCACCATGTATGAGCACCTACTAGTTCTAACTGGTGCAAGACATGTCCAGTCAATGTTTTTGAGAGAGAGAGAAGCGTAAAAAAGCAACTTCGCTTAATGTGAGCCTCAATGTTAGTAAAACAACAAATGCAGCTAAATCCTTCAAGAAGGTAATATCATGTCCATGTCACCAAGACCTAGTTATTCGGTATATCAGAAAACACCCCAAAACACCTGAAGTGGTTCCAAGTTCAGGTACTTGAGATTTGTGCAAGTATAACGAAATAAAAATATAGCAGAGAGAGAGAGAGAGTGTGTGTTTTTACCAAGACAGCCAGAGTTTGCATTCCTGCAGACCGCAAGCGCAGGGCTCTGTCATCATCTCCAATTTCTCGAGCTAGCTGACACATTTTAGGTATAAGGCCTTCTAAGTTGAACATATACGTACCATCCATCTGCATAATAAGGAAAAGGAAGAGAGCTTAAATCCACTTTTTAAGAGCAACCCAAAATATTTTCTAGGTTCTTATAAACCCATTTATCAAAACCATACTCCATTTTCCTTCGCTCAGACCACTTCCATGGGGTAAACCCAATCCACCAAGAATAAAAACCCAAAAGCACCCCTTGTTGGATATGTGTACTAATATTTCTCTACTCATCCATCAAAATTTACATCCTCCTCATGGTAATATAATGTACTTGCAACACTATAATCCTAAATCCTAACAGACATCAGTGCTTGGTACCCGGCTAGAGGCTTCAAAATTATGAGAGATCAGTAAAAGACACAATGATGCATTACCAAATTACTCAGTGGCATTTATATTCCACGACTACCCAGTTCACGTTATTGGCTCAGATACATGAGCCGAGTACAAGTACTTCAAAATACTCTTTCGTAAGGATGGTATCAGTACATATTAACATCTATTTTTCTTCGGCACACAAACCTGCCAATTGATGAAGTCGACGAGAGTGTTGCAACCTAAAATCTGCATCTCATCATGCTGCGTCTGTTCAAAAAGAGTGCGGATAATCCCCAATAGACTAGTAGCATATAGTGGCCTGCAGTTGTAAATTTAAACCATTACATTATGTTTGAACTCCATAAAGTGCAAAAGTAACTGAAGTAATAATTGTATGCAAAACTTTAACTGTATCAGTGCAATAGAGTAAAACTGCATATCGCATGCATAGATACTGATGCTATATCGAAAGAACATTTCCATCCAAAGTTAACTTAGTCAACTAGATCATCATAGATAGTCCATTTCCAAGTCAGAAATTTCCGTGGAAATAGCTAACTATTATGACTTGAATTGTGTACAGACATATTTGAGGTGGCATCTACAGGGACTAACAAATGTTATTTCAGTATTATGATTCATTGTCTCAACAACAACAACATACCCAGTGTAGTCCCACAAGTGGGGTCTGGGTAGGGTAGAGTGCACGCAGTCCTTACCCCTACCTTTAAGAAGGCAAAGAGGATATTTCCGGTAGATCTTCGGCTGAGGAAAATATAAATGGAAGGGCTATAACAAGCAAACCAAATCTGACACCGAAGCGAAAATGCTAACAGAACTAACATAAGAAATGCAAACAGAAAATCAAAACAAGGCAGTAACAAGTAATAACAGAAGTCTATGGATACGAAAATACACAAAAGACACTAAGTGATGTATCAAAGTTACTGCTACAAACACGGACAATACTCGGCTACCTAACCCTTGACCTTTATACTCAACCTCCACACCTTCCTATCGATAATCATGTCCTCAGTAAGCTGGAGCGACGTCATATCTCGCCTAATCATCTCTCCTCAATATTTGTTCGGCCTACCTCTACCTCTCCATTGTCCCTCCAATGCCAGCCTCTCACACCTCCTCACTGGTGCATCTGTACCTCTCCTCTTCACATGGCCGAACCATCTAAGTCTTGCCTCCCTCATCTTGTCTTCCACCGGAGTCACGCCCACCTTGTCCCGTATAACTTCATTTCTAATTCTATCTAACCTGGTATGTCCGCACATCCATCTCAACATGCTCATTTCAACCACATTCATCTGGACATGGGAGTTCTTGACTGGCCAACACTCCGCTCCATACAGCTTAGTCGGTCTGACCACCACTCTATAAAACTTTCCTATTAAGATTTGGTGGCACATTCTTATCACACCGAACATCGGAAGCAAGCCTCCATTTCATCCATCCCACCTCAATACATTGTGTGACATCCTCGTCGATCTCCCCATTCCCTTGCATAACTGACCCAAGGTACTTGAAAATTTCTCTCCCAGGGATGACTTGTGAATTCAGCCTCACATCTTCGTCCACTTCCTGAGACGTGCCACTAAACTTGCACTCCAAGTATTCTGTTTTGGTTTTGCTCAACTTGAAACCTTTAGACTCCAGGGTATGCCTCCAAACCTCTAACCTCTCGTTGACACCACCATGTATCTCGTCAATCAATACAATATCATCTGCAAATAACATGCACCATGGCACCTCCCCTTAAATGTGTCGCATCAGTGCGTCGATCGCCAAGGCAAATAAAAATAGGCTGAGGGCTGACCCCTAATGCAACCTCATCACAACTGGAAGTGTTCTGAATCCCCTCTCACTGTCCTCACCCGAGTCATTGCTCCACCGTACATGTCCTTAATAGCCCTAATATAAGCAACAAAAACTCCTCTAGCCTCCAAGCAACTCCACAGCACCTCCCTCGGCACTTTATCATGAGCCTTTTCTAAGTCGATGAACACCATATGTAAATCCTTTTTCCGCTCACTGTATTGCTCCATCAACCTCCTAACAAGGTGAATAGCTTCTGTAGTCGAACGCCCCGGCATAAATCCGAATTGGTTCTCTGAAATCGACACAATCCTCCTCACCCTCAACTCCACCACCCTCTCTCATACTTTCATAGTATGGCTCAGTAGCTTGATATCCCGATAGTTGTTGCAATTTTGTATATTACCCTTGTTCTTATACAGCGGGATCATTGTACTCCATTTCCATTCCTCGGGCTTCCTCTTTGTCCTAAAAATAATATTAAATAACCTAGTGAGTCACTCCAAGCCCACTTTACCCATACACTTCCAGAACTCAACCGGTATTTCGTTTGGCCGGTCGCTCTTCCTTTGCTTATTTATGCATAGCCCCCTTTACCTCCTCAGCTCTTATATGCATGCAATACCCAAAGTCCCGATGACTCTCGGAGTGTTCTAAGTCACCCAGCACATGTTCCCAACCCCCTCTTCATTCAAGAGTTTATGGAAGTAAGTCTTCCATCTCCGTCGAATAAGGGCCTCATCCAATAACACTCTACCATCCTCGTCCTAGACGCACTTCACTTGATCTAGGTAACGAATCTTCCTTTCTCGCACCTTGGCTAGCCTGTGCAATTTCTTATCTCCTCCTTTGCCTCCAAGTTCTTTCGGCAGTCTTAGTCACGATAACTGCCAACTTCGCTTCCTTCTTAGCCACCTTATTATGATTCATTGCCTCGTTTCAAGAATAACTAGATCTCTATCAGTAACGCCAGCACCAAATATAGGCAACAGAAGCAAGAATATAAGTCACCAAGCAAAAGTGGGGTGGGATTAAAACAATCTCATTAAGGAAATAACATCTTAAATGAAGCAGAATAAAGGTAGATTGTTTTTCTATTTTGACAAGTTAAGGTATGAATCGACAAAGATGTTTTGATTACAGGGATAGGTTATATGAACCCTTTTTGATAAGACATTTTTTTAGTTGTGACCTAACTAAGACAAATTCAAAATAGTTACAGCATCTCAAACTAGAGTTCTGACCAACTTGCTCACGCCTCTCCATTCATTAGGTTTCAAGAAATATTTAAAACTAGGTCTTTATCCTTTCATGTTTTAGGCAAGACATAGCGCAGCTTTAGCTGACCGAGGACATGACCCTTGATAAGAAGGTATGGAGGTTGAGCATTAGGATAGTAGAGTAGGTAGTCTAGAGTGTTCATAACAGTAGTATTGGCATGCAGCCTCGCTTTCTGTTGGTAGTAGGTTTCTGTTGTTTTCTTTCATTGTTGATCACCTTACTATCTTGTTGTTTTTATTCTGCTTTTATATGGCTTTTTGGTACTGTTCATTCTTGTATATATTTTCATTAATGTGTTGCTTATGCTTTCCTGAGCCGAGGGTCTATTAAAAAAAGCCTCTCTATCCTCATAAGGTAGGGGTAAGGTCTTCGCATACACTACCCTCCCCATATCCCACTGTGGGATAATACTGGGTATGTTGTTGTTGTTGTTGTTGTTGTTGTAGGTCTTTATCCTTTATTCTGGGAGGGGGATAGGTACTTCGTAAGGAACTGTTTCCAAATGACTTCCATAATAGTTTCTTAGAACAACTCTTATGTTTGCTTTCTCCAAAAGTTGTTTTATAACTCCGAACTCTTTTATATTCTCAAAAAAGTAACAGGCAGTTTATAAAAACAGGAATAGATCTAATGTGGATTTCCATCAGGTACATAACTCTTGATAACCAGTTGAGGTCTATATTCAGCCCCTCTACAAAGAGAGAGGAATTTACTGGGGCTTCCGTTCTTTAAGTTCTAAATTCTTGTGTACCTTTTCTTTCATGGATAAATGGAACTTTATAGAACTGCGCCATGGGGTTGCAAAAACCAACCTAGTAATTTAACAGATAGAAATGAAGAGCCTTTCTAGTTCAGTTGCAATAGAGAATGTTAAATCTAGCTTCTTCACTGTTGCCAAAACAACTAATAAAGCAATCATGTGATGATCCTCCTCTATACATAGATTTTAGATCATAAAGATAGAGAAGATCCAAATTTCTCTATATAGGTACATAAGTATCAAACTTACATGTGCTCCTTACATGAAGATAGCAGCTTCCTGTAGATGACGGTAACAACCTTTACTGAGCCAAGGTGCTCATTTCGCAAATCTTTGTAACACCTTTGCTCTAGGTATTCCGTAATCTGAATCACATTGATCAGAAATTAATTATTAAGGGAGACTCCTGACACCAAAAAAGCTTTCTAAAAAAAGGGTTAATATTATATTACTACCTTAGGGATACGGAAAGGGTTTTTGGAGGCATACTCGCTAAGTTTGGCAATCTTTCTATCATTTGGCTCAGCATCCTGCAGAGAAGAAAATAATAAAGTAACGGCCAAAAAAAAGATACGGCTATACGTATAAGTCAACAAAATGGAGGGACCTGTGATTTGGGGAAAATCTCAGCAAGGAGCTTCTTGTAGCGTTTAACAGGCTGTCTGGACCTTGCGCGCAATGATGGGCAAAGGAAGCAGAGATTACCACATGCTGGCACTACTTTCCTTGACATCACCCCCATTCTTGAAACCCAAAATTCTAATTTAACTTCTTTTCTTCAGGGTCCGTCCGTCCGTCAGTAATCTTAAATAATAAGAAATACAAGCATCATCATGAGATTAACAACACAGATCTAAAAAATCGAGCAAAAATCAAATAAACAACACCCACCCACCAATTGAATTCAGCACTTGAGATCTAGATCCACCCCAATGAGCTCATATGACAAGCCCCTCAAAAATTGAACCTCCTTCTTCTTCTTCTTCGGTTGCAAATTGGACGAATTTGTCAGGCAATAATTAATTGTTTTAGCAACAATAATTTAATAAGAAAATTGAAGTTTTCAAACAAAAATTAACATACTCTACGTCTTATTTTTAACCTGGGATTATTAAGTCAAAGGGGAGGGCAGAGGATGAGAACTCTCCCCCTTTGAGGTTTTTCTTTTCCAATCCGTGAAAACTAAAAAGTAGTGTTAATTATTACGGCAAAGCAAAAATGAAAACTAATTATTCCAGCAAAACAGAGATTGGACAAATTATAGAATATTATTTTTTTTTTTAAAGTTAGTACTATTTATTGTCTATGTCCCAACAAGGAATATCTATAAATACTGGGTGTCACCAACATACTTGTAACGGGCAGGTCCAGCCTGGACCAAGTTAACTGTTGTTTGTCAGTAGTAAATGGATTTGCCACGCCCCAAAGGTAGAGGAGCACGACATAGCACCCGATGCCTTAAAACTTAGGGGTCGTTTGGCAGGGTGTATAAAAATAGTGTGAAATAATGTATATTAGTAATGCAAGCATTAGTTATGCAAATATTATTTTTTATCTATTGTTTGGTGTGGTGTATTAAAATTATAATACATTGCATAATTTTAAAAAAAACAGTTACTTACAAAAATGCCCTCCATATTCTCTAGCTTTAAGGGATTTTAAGGACAATTTTGTCTTTAACCATGCTAATACATGCATTAAAGCCTTGGTATTACTAATGCCATGGTTTTTTATGCATTACTTATACATAAGATAATGTCAAGTATGATGTATAACTAATACAAGTATTAGTTATACACAAGTTGAAAAAAAGGTACCAAACAAGGTATTAGTAATGCATAGAGCTAATGCTTGCATTATTTTTTCTAATACATCCTACCAAACGACCCCTTAGTGATAAGTATACTCATGTTTCTTTTATTGTTAGCTCCTGTTTGGCCATAAATTTTTGCTTCATTTGTTTATGAAATATGATCATATTTTGGGGGAATCAAAAAATTTAAGATCCCAAAAACTGGTTTAAGGCAGTTTTTGGGTGAAAATTTCTCTTACACTCACAAAACTTCAACTTCTTCAAATAAAACACATGTTCAAACACAATTTCAACTTTCAAAATTATTTTTCAACACAACTTCAAAAACTTTTTTTCAAGTTTCAATTAAATCTACGTCCAAACGCTAGCTTAGATTTGGACCGTGCATGCCCCATGGTAAGAGATATCTCAAAAGGGTTCAAAATTTATCAACATTCACCATAACAGATAACAAATATTTCAAAAAGTACATAATTTTATGAATACAATGATAACATTCTATACATAATTACATAACTCACTTTATACTCGAAGCTTCTATGACAAAAACTACTTAAACGTATAAATAAACTAAACTCAAGATGCTCGCTAAAACAAAAGCGGGCTCACCATAATCAGCTGGAGAAGAGGGATAGATGCACAACGAGTAACCAAACAAAAGCACTCATATATATTGCCAATTTCTTCACATAGCATGGAACAAGACATATAAAGAAAACATGGAAAGTGTTCAAAACAATAACAATTTTATTTCATAAAGTATTTGAAAGGTTGAAAACCATACTCTTAGGGGCAAGTCTATTAATTAATTACCGACATAATCACTAAACCATCATGTGTAGGTGAAATCTGTTATCGGCCCGTTCAACTAAGCCTTGTCATGTGGTTCGATATTCATATGCTAGCATTTCATTAATCCCAACCAAGGAAGACTATCTAAGCGCCAAAACTAATAGCACGACCATAGTCCTACACTAGCACGTCTAGTTTCGGGTATTGGGCATATTCGGCCAATACCTTCTTGGTTATATAATAAAACTCCGAAAATATTTTATTTTATTTGGCACCTTTGTGTCACGTCCTAGACTTAAACTAAGCGCACGTGTGACACTTGACAATTTGTTCACGTTCTTGCACAATTTACTCATTATCTTGCTATGTCAAGTCAGCATAAACTACTATACTCAAGATCACTAAGGGAATGTTAGATAAGAAAGACAAGAGAAAATTTCCAAAGGACTTTTTTTATGGTAGAGAACTTGATTGGTTTGCTTGGTGAGTTACAAATGAATGCCAATATTTATACTAGTCACCGAGGGGCTAGTGTGTAAATAATAATTTTTCCACAAGTCCTTCCATATTTACAAATAAGTACACCCTCTAAAATTTTCTAAATGACTAGAACATTTCAAGGCTTTCCAAAAGAGTCCTCCTATCAAATCCATAAATATTTAGAGCTTTCCCAAGGAAACTTTCCATAGTTCTAGAATATTCCACCAACAGCTAGTCTCAAACTTATGTAACCCTTACACATGGCAAGTATATGTGTCAAATAGATACTATGTGACATGATAACATGGTGGGTTGATCACGCCCAACTATGTCTTACAAAAGGACAATGCGGACGTTGCAAATATAACCGCGGTCTGGGCGTGTTCCTGCTATATATATATATTATTTTGTGAAGTTATGCATTACACTTACAACACATTCGTGGGTTGCCTCCCATGCAGCGCCTGATTTAATGTCGCGGCACGACGCAGATGAGCGCATTTAAGGCTCGTCAACCTCTGTAGTTCAGTCAGGTGTAGCTCAGACACTTCCTTTGGTTCGCTCATGCCCACATATAGTTTCAATCTCTGCCCATTGACTCTAAATGTAAGAGAGTCTTTCTCTGTGGCAATCTCGACAGCACCTGAAGGGAAAACTTCGACCACTCTAAATGGTCCAGACCATCGTGACCTGAGTTTACCCGGAAATAGCCTTAATCGTGAGTTATAAAGCAACACCATATCTCCAGGATTGAAATTTTTCTCCACAATGTTCTTGTTGTGCAACCTCTTCATTCTTTCCTTGTACAACTTTGTGCTCTCAAAAGCAAAGTGTCTGAACTCGTCGAGCTCATGCAATTCTGTGATCCTCGTTGTGCCCGCAGCCTCGATGTCTAGATTCAGCAGTTTCTGTTCCCACCACGCTCTATGTTCAAGTTCCACTGGCAAATGGCAGGCCTTCCCGAATACCAACTTATATGGTGACATATCAATCGGTGTTTTAAAAGCAGTTTTATAGGCCCAGAGTGCATCATCTAACTTTTTCGCCCAATCAGTTCTTGTGGCATTCAGAGTCTTGGTTAGCACACTCTTTATCTCTCTGTTGGACACTTCAACCTGCCTATTAGTTTGCGGGTGATAAGGGGTAGCCACCTTGTGGCGTACATCATACTTTGCAAGCAACTTCTCGAAAACTCTATTACAGAAGTGAGTGCCTCCGTCACTGATAATCGCTCTTGGTGTCCCAAATCTGGTGAATATGTTCTTCTTCAAAAACCCCACCACCACTCTTGCATCATTAGTGGGCAACGCTGCAGCTTCTACCCATTTGGACACGTAATCCACAGCAACAAGTATGTACTTATTGCCATAGGAGCTGACGAAGGGACCCATGAAGTCAATCCCTCAGACATCAAACACTTCCACCTCTTGAATTGGGTTCATGGGCATCTCATGGCGACGGAAAATGTTCCCGGTCTGCTGACATTCATTGCAGCTCTTCACCCATTGGTGCGCATCTTTGAACACTGTTGGCCAAAAGAATCCGGCTTCAAGCACTTTCGCAGCTGTCCTGACCCCTCCAAAATGTCCTCCATAAGCCGATGCGTGACAAGCCTGCAAAACAGAAGATTGTTCTATCTCGGGGACACACCTCCGGATCATATTGTCAACACAAATTCTAAACAGGTAAGGCTCATCCCAATAGTACATGCGATAGTCACGATAAAACTTTTTCTTTTGTACAGATGAAAGGTCATAGGGAACTATACCGCAGGCCAGGTAATTTGCAAAATCTGTATACCATGGCACTTTCTCAAGATTAGTAGCGAGCAGTTGCTCGTCTGGAAAGGTTTCCAGAATATCTTCAACCTCAATTGCATTTTCAGCTCCCTCAAGTCGTGATAGATGATCAGCGACTTGGTTCTCTGTGCCCTTACGGTCACGAATTTCACAGTCGAATTCTTGCAGCAGCAACACCCAATGAATCAGGCGCGGCTTAGACTCCTTCTTCTCAATCAAGTACCTGAGAGCTGTTTGATCAGTGTATACAATCACCTTAGAACCAATCATATATGATTTGAACCTGTCGAAAGCAAAAACCATAGCCAACATCTCTTTCTCAGTCACTGTATAGTTCAGTTGGGCTCCACTCAACGTTCTACTTGCATAGTAGATTGGATGCATCAGCTTGTCCTTCCGCTATCCCAATACTGCCCCCATTGCGTAGTCACTGGCATCACACATGAGTTCGAATGGCTGCTCCCAGTTGGGGGCAACAATGATAGGTGTTGTGACCAGTCACTTTTTCAGCTCCTCGAATGCTACCCTGCAATCATCAGAAAACAAGAAAGGGTGATCTTTTTCTAACAACTTACAGAGAGGGTTGGCAATTTTTTAGAAGTCTTTTATGAATCTCCGGTAGAAACCGGCATGCCTAAGGAAGCTTCTGATTGCTTTGACTGAAGTTGGAGGAAGTAACTTTGCTATTACATCCACTTTAGCACGATCACCTCAATTCCTTTGCTTGACACCCGGTGTCCCAAGACTATGACTTCTTGTACCATGAAGTGGCACTTCTCCCAGTTCATAACCAGGTTAGTCTCGATACACCATTTCAGCACACGCGTCAGATTTATCAGGCACTCATCAAATGAATTCCCAACCACTGAGAAGTCATCCATGAACACCTCCATTATGTCCTCTACCATGTCAGTGAATATGGCCATCATGCATCGTTGGAATGTGGCGGGTGGGTTGCATAAGCCAAAGGGCATCCTCCGAAAGGCATAAATGCCATAAGGACAAGTGAAAGAGGTCTTCTCTTTGTCCTCCGGTGCAATGGAAATCTGGTTGTATCCTGAGTACCCGTCCAGAAAACAGAAGTGTGACCTCCCTGCCAGTCTGTCTAACATCTGATCAATGAAGGGAAGTGGGAAGTGGTCTTTCCGGGTGGCTACATTTAGCTTTCTATAATCCATGCAAATTCTCCAGCCCGTGACTGTTCTGGTGGAGATCAATTCATTGTTATTATTCTTAACTACCGTCATACCACCCTTTTTAGGTACACATTGAACTGGGCTAACCCAGCTACTGTCAGAGATTTGGAAGATAATTCTCGC